AGCATTAAAAAAATATGGCAATATCTTTCTTAGTCTTCCTCCCCCTATGGAATAAGAACAACAAGGTGCTAATACCATTATTAAGAAGAAAAAAAACTAATCAAGATGTGCCAAAATACAAGTTACATATTGATTTTTGTTCATATAAGTTACATGGTATCTCTTACAAATTTCATAAATCCTTCAAGGTCCGGAGGAATTTTAGTTGGTGGTGGCGGAAAAGAAGCTTGGTCATCACCGCTTCCGGGCGAAGCAGCATCCTCCGCAAGTTCAACTAGCATTTCTTCGTAAGCTTCGTCTCCCCAATTTACCGAGAGTTAATTTAACAATGCAACAACACCATAAATAGGGGAATAGGGAAAAAATATTTTTTAAACTTTTTTTCTCATAGAATCAATAGCAAGTTGATAATTAATTATCGTTGAAGACTTAAAAACTTCAATTCACCAACTTCACAATTTTGCACAAATTGTAACAATAAAGTAAGCAATTATAGAAGAAAATTAGAGAGAGATTGATGATTTTGTAAGAAAATGAAAGAATGAAGGAGTATTTATAGTTGAAAATAGGGAAAAAGTGTAATTATAAAAAGTTTGGAGTTAAAACAAAGTTGGGGGGATTAAATGGCTATTTTATAAATAGCCAACGGCTATTTTGGCAGGTAAAATGGCCATATTTTAAATGCCATAACGGCTATAATGTGGTAGGTTTTTTTTAAAAAAAAATTAGTCGTTGGGCCCGGATAAGCCCGTTTAGGACCGCTTGAACCGGCCCACTTCCCAGCCGGTCCCGGTCCCAACCAGTCCTGGTCTCGCGGGCCTCGCCTATGGGACCGTCCCACTACCCAGCCCACCTCCCCACGGTCTCGGTCCTATCCGGTTAGGATCGTTTAGGCCCACCGCCCATTTGGGCTTGCGGTCCTAGGCCGGGCCCGGTCCTAACCGGCCCATATGCCACCCTTACTCCAGAATATCTAAACCGTTTATCTTTCATAACCTGCTCTCGGCTATGCTGACGTACACCCTCAATCCTCCTGGCTATCTCCACGACCAACTCATAAGAAGTCCCCATCTCAACCTCTCGGGCCATAGTGGTCTGAATGCCAGTGTGCAAATCCACAACAAACCTCTGTACTCTCTCCGCATCAGTAGGGAGTACCATAAGTGCATGGCGAGACAACTCAGAGAACCTCGCCTCATAATCGATCACTGACATCTGACCCTGCTGGAGCTGCTCAAACTAAAACCGCAACTCTTCCCTCTGGGAGGGTGGAATATACCTATCCAGATAAATACAGGTGAACCTGTCTCAAGTCATGGGAGGAGAATCTGTTGGTCTGCCAAGAATATAGGACTTCCACCACCTAGGGTCTTGCCCTCCAGCTGAAAAGTAGCAAAGTCTATCCCATGAGACTCCAATATCCTCATGTTGTGCAGTCTGTCTCTGCACCGATCAATGAAGTCCTGGTATTCTCATGTCGCTCACCCCCAAAGACATGAGGATGTAACCTAGTCCATCTGTCCAATAGCTTCTGCGGCTCGACGGCTGCAGCTGGTCTGGGCTCAGGTGTAGCTGCTGCCACTGGTTGGGCTCCACCCACGGGTAGTGCACCCTGGGTCTAATATACAGCAGCTGCCTGCCCATGAGCATGTGCTGTAGGAGTCTGTGCTCCCCTTCTCGCCTGAGATGTGGCTGGGTCTGCCGAAAATAAACCGGCCTGAATTATAGTGTCCATGAATACCTCGCGGAAGGAAAACAGGAATTTACAACTTTAAGGAAAACACCAAAATAACTAAAGGCAAATGCAGCCATAAAGAAATATCAATAAGGGCACTCCCGAGGTACCGCCTCGTAGTCCCAAATCATAAATAAATTTACAATATCTCATGTCTCATTTTCTTATATCACCGCGGGAGCCTTCACATTTAATTTTAAAAAAAATATTTTTCCCGAAATAGCATCCCGCGTTTTAGCCACCCTTATCACACCGCATGACTTCTAGTAGTTCCCCTACTAGCCACGCGTATCAAGCCACCCTTATCTCACCGCATGTGTTTCAACACCCAGACCTTATACAACCGCATGCGTATCAATATCACAATATATCACAATTTGCACCTCAAGTACCCAAATATTTCAGCTATCCAAAATAAATCAACAATAACAATATTTTTCCACAATAAGGAGCTCACGGCTCAATCACAATGAGTATAAAAATCTCACAAAATATTCGGGAATGAATAACTCAGCAAAAATAATATTTCACAATTTTTAGCACGTTGCTTCAATACCAAATTTTAAAATGTCAAATACTTCATATTAATATTAATTCAATTAAGAAATTCAACTTTCAAATATTGAGCACAAAATAAAAGAAACAAAATTTCAACTAAATAGGTAAAGCAATTAGCAGGAAAAATGTCAGAAAAATTTAAAATATAAAAATAGATCAATGATGATGAATATAACCGGTTAAATAATTTAATTAATTTGCAACAGAGATCTACACAATTTAAAACCATAGTTTTTCATATTTAGCCCGTGTACACACTCTTCACCTCGCGTACATGACTTTTCACACATCACAATTATCATATCAATATCAATCCTAAGTGAAATTTCTACCACACAAGGTTAGACAAGTCGCTTACCTCGACTTGTGTAATTCTTTACTCTACTATGCCTTTGCCTCGCGAATTAGCCTCCAAAATTCTCGTATCTAGTCATAATAATTTCGATTCATTCAATACAAATTATTGGAAATTAATTCCATATGAAAATACTAATTTTTCAATAAAATTCGAAATTTAACTCAAAAATCGTCAGTGGAGCCCACGTCTCAGAACCCGACAAAAGTTATAAAATACGAATGCCCATTCAACCACGAGTTCAACCATATAATTTTTACTAAAATTCAACATCAATTCGACCGTCAAATCTTCAAATTAAATCAAGAGGGTTTTCTAAATCTTCCAACTTAAATCCTCAATTAAATATTAAAAACAACCATAGATTCGGGTAATTTGACCAATATTGAGTAAAGAACACTTACCCCGTTATTTTTCTTAAAAATCTCCCGAAAATTGCCTCTTCCCGAGCTCCAATTTCAGAACTTAAAGTTTCTGCCCAGGGATTTCTTATTCGCGAACGCGACCCTTGCCTCGCGTTCGCGAAGCACAAAATGTGCTGCCCAAAATCTCCTCTTCACGAACACGATGACCAGGGGTCCCATGCCTTCGCGAATGCGACGCCTCATTCGCGAACGCGTAGGCTAACGCGTGAAGTCCACCCTAGCCCTCACTCTTCTTCACGAACGCGTGGCCTCTCTCGCGCTCGCGATGCACACTGGCCCTCACCCTTCGTGAACGCGTCCCTTGCTTCGCGAATGCGAAGAACAAACTCTCGCCTGCCCTAGTTCCCCTTCGCAAACGCGAGACCTTTCTCGCGAACGCGAAGAAGGAAACCAGAGCTGGACACCAGAAATTTTTCAGTTGTTCTCCAAGTCCAAAATTGATCCGTTAACCTTTCGAAACTTACCCAAAGCCCCCAGGACCTTAACCAAATACACCAACAAGTCCTACAACATCATACAAACTTAGTCGAAACCTCAAATTACATCAAACAACACTAAAACCACGAATCATACTCCAATTCAAGTTTAAGGAACTTAACAATTTCCAACTTCTACATTCTATGCCGAAACATATCAAATCAAGTCCAATTTACCTCAAACTTTGCACATAAGTCGTAAGTGACATAACGGAGCTATGAAAATTTTCAGAACTGGATTCCGACTTCGATATCAAAAAGTCAACTCCCCGGTCAAACTTCCAAACTTAAATTTCTATTTTAGCCATTTCAAGCCTAATTTAGCTACGGACTTCCAAATAATTTTTCGGACACGCTCCTAAGTCCAAAATTACCATACGGAGCTATTGGAATCATCAAAACTCTATTCCGGGGTCGTTTACACATAAGTCAATATCCGATCAACTTTTTCAACTTAAGTTTTCAACCTTGAGAATAAGTGTCTCAATTCATTCCGAAATCTCTCCGGACTCGAACTGACTACCCCGACAAGTCACAATACAGCTATAAAGTACAGAATGAGCAGTAAATGGGGGAATGGAGTTGCTCCTAATGAGGTTTGACAACTCCATCTTTTGGTTTCTCAGCCTCTATATATATTATCGTCTCTCTGTCACCCCCTTAATAAGGAAAAGTAGTTTATTTCTATATGAATGCATTATTTGATTAGATATATTCAATGCTCAGATCTAGAAATAACATCTCAGTGTGCATTCAAATTCTGACAATTTAATCTTAATGGTATTAAATGAGGCATTGATTATGAATACAGAGAACATGGAGAATTACTTCACAAACGAGAATAAAGATTGGAGAAACATTTTTGTAACATTTTTTTATTTTTATTAAAAAAGAAAAGAAAGTGTAGAGAGCTTCACTCTAGAAAAAGGCTGGGTATTGTAATGAGGAGGAAGACACAGATGGCCTCTTCTTTTTTCCGGTGGTCATAACAGGGGCGAGTTATGAGTTCAATTGAACTCATAACTTTTATCTTAGACTTGGATTTTCACTATAAAATTCATTAAAATTACTGAAGAAAATGAGCTATCAACCCATAACTCAAACAATGTGACGGGTTCAATGGTTGAAGTCGAAATCTTAAACCCGTAGAATTAAAATTTTGGATTCGTCTATGAGTCAAAAGAGTGAAAATGCTTATATATGAGTACTCTTCTAACTCTAAATCCAGCAGTACCTCCAAATTGAGAAACTAGCTCACAACAATAATGAGAGCTTACGGAGATAGAATTATTATTTTTATTTTACAAAATTGAACAACTCTCCTTTGATTAATTTAATTTTAATTCTCTGAACTAAGATACTTTATTTGTGCAGAAAAGCTTGTTCATGGTAAGACACTTTCAATGGGGTGATCCTTTTTTGCTTCGTAAATCTGAATCACATCAAGCAGATTGTAAAATATCGCAGTATTATAAACCTTGCCGATGGTGAGCCTTTTCGCAGTTTCATATACATACAGACAATCGACAATGTCAAAATAGGTAGAGCACAAAACTGAAGGAATAACAACTGTGACATATGACCAATGACTCACTAGTAATTGTATCTTTCTGGACCAAAAAAAGCACTTCTAACTAGCATTTACGTGATTTTCTAAGCACTCCTAACTTGCATTTACTTGATTGTCTACGTTGATCCAAATTCTGAAAACCATTTCTCGTGTCGTTCAATGTCCACTGCAGAAACTGTGGGTTGTATTTTATCTAAAGCTTCTAGGAAGTCATCCATCATAACTGGAATTTTCAAAATCTCAGCCTTGGACATGTTCTTAATCTCATCTGGGTTTTTCCCTGCTATCTTACGTCTCATGCCGCTTAAAGAAGCATCTCTGCAGATATTTGTTAGATCGTCTCCACTGAAACCTTCTGTTCTTCGTGCCACTTGGTCAATATCCAGGTCAGGAGCTAACTGGCATTCATTATACATGATACAGATTATTAGTATCAACAAANGCTAACTGGCATTCATGATACATGATACAGATTGTTAGTATCAACAAAATTTTCTGTTCAATCTCGAGGAGCAATAATAATCACAGGCAGATCTAGGGCCAGTTCTATGGTTCGACTGAACACATTTCTTTCAGCTCAAACGCCGCATGCAAATGAGAAAAACTTTAAAATTTGTTTTATACATATAATGAGATCACACAAACTCTAAATCCTGGATGAGGCTTAGCTCAAGTCACAATGTAACAAAAGTTTATGTTTAAAGTTCTTACTGATTTCCAGCACCACCCTTGTCATTCTAGTAACTTAAAAATTATATTGAGATCCAACCAAAAGGTCTCTTATTATCAGCTTCTTCTTCTTTCTTTTTTTCTTTTATATATCCTAATATCGTATTCATTGTTAATACTATTAATAATCATTGAACTAGTATCGGCAATAACATAATGTAGTTTACTTAAAGCCACTGGAAGTGGAGACAGATTCCATGGAGGTGTTAAACCTACTTGAAAATGATTCCCCATTGTATAACACTATTATGGATTCTTGCAGGTGGTAAATGCTCCAGCTGGAGAGCCCTGTCATCAGGCATAGCTTCGGGGAAGCAAACTATGTGGCACACCTTCTAGCTAAAGATAGTACCAAGCTGGCCATAATTAACCAACAAAATCAATCTTCATGTTCCTACTCATTTTGTTGAATCCACTACGCTATCAGCCAAAGAAGGAACAATGTCTGTTAGGACCATACCATAAAATATATGTAAACATTTGTCTAGTTTCGGAACCTTTGTGCTCTACATAGCACTACAAGCCATGGATTTGATCCCCATGAGACATCCATGAGTGAACCTTGTAATTATTATGGTATGTACATTTTCTTTGTAAGTTGAAACTTGAAAATTTTCAGTGTGGTCATACTCATTCCTTTAGTGACTTTGAATCAAAACCTATTTTTTAAGTAGAGACATTAAGATAATATAGCAGATGAACTTCTTTCAAGACAATGAAGCACAGTACCTACAAATTAAGAAACTAGCCAACACCAATAATGAGAGCTTACCGTGATTGATATCAAGTTTATCTTTATAAGCTCCTTACGGCTCTTAAAATCAGGAAGTGGGATGTAAATCCGCTTTTCTAGCCGCCTCCTACAGTAGTACAGTGAATCACTAATTAGCCAAGATCCAGATACGAAACAGAATACAAATCAGACTAAAAAAGCTAATATTGACTAGGAAGTTAAGGAGTAAAGTTAACCTTAGTGCCTCATCAAGACCCCAGGGGAAATTTGTTGCTGCCAAAACTGTGACCGGTTTGCCTGCTATATTATTAGTGGAGTTGTTTAACCCATCAATCTGAACTAGAAGTTCAGACTTCACCCTTCGGGATACTTCATTCTCTCCAGGAGCCCTGAGAAACAGGTCCAGAGTTCATGAAGTTTTATCACTAGAAGTAAAACTAAAAAATTATAAGTTTAACATACTTAAGAACATTTTATGCTCAAATTAATGTTGATTGTTGAGCACATGCATAAATGTTATTGTGGGATGTGTGCGTACACACGAGGTAGGTGAAAGAAAGAGGAGCAGGACGAAATATTTAGTATGCAATAATGTTACAAAAATTATTCACAATCAGGTTACTTAAAATGTAGATATAAATCTTTATGATAACACATTAATCGGTGACCTGATAAAGATAATATAACAATCTATGATCTAGCAAATATCAGTTTAAAGTCACCGGCACTTCTCAGACGCATTATTTGGTAGCTTGATAAAAATCTCTATGGTTGAAAAACATAGACTTGTCAGTATGTACGGATGGGACTATCAGTTCAGACCAGACTAAGCTGCTCAAGTGATACTACAGTATGATCCAGTTTCCGAAAAACATACAGCCTCTAATTTCCTTCTACTAGGTATTCTATTAAGGTAATTGTTTTAACCTTCTCTGCTCTCTGCAGCTCCTATGCAAGGCTTTGGATTAGTAGAGGCCCTTCACTTATTTACTCGGGAAAAAGCAAGAACGAACTGGTCGTCAAACTAATATACGGTCCATCACCAATCATGTGTCTATTAGATGATTGAAGTCTAGTTACTATGACGTGTAGACCCGTAACATATAATCTATGCCTAGTACATAAATTTATCACATATGGTGATGAAAATAAATCTTACACAACAGCAAGACAATGAGAAAAATCCTCAGCTATCACATGTATATGAAATCATTTTAGAAAGAACAGATTGCTTACCCTCTGGCACTACAAAGAGAATCAATCTCATCAATAAAAATTGTACTTGGAGCACGAGCACGAGCAAGATCAAACAAGCACCGTACCCGTCGTTCACTCTCCCCATACAATTTTGCCAACAACGAAGAGCAAGAAACATTCAGAAATGTTGTCCCACACTCTGTAGCAACAGCTTTGGCCAAGAGTGTTTTCCCTGTGCCAGGAGGACCAAACATAAGAACTCCTCTCCAAGGTCTCCTGATTCCCTGCAAGTAACATTTAATATGTAAACTATATAGAAGTTTCATAATATAAGTATTCATTATTCTTTTTATTAATGTGCCATGTAGTTACAACATGTGGATAGCTGCAAGTCAAAACTTGTACATAGCAAGAAGTTGCGACTTCCGTTGGATCAGATTGTATCCTCGTTATGTGATGACAGGTATATGAGACAGTTCAGTTTTCAATAGCAAAAACTATTACCAGCTTATTTTCTTAATTAACTTCGAGGACTGTTTCCACATCTAATAAACAGTTTGTAACAAGGCAAAAGAAAAGGAAACATAAGTGTGTTTGGTATGTCGGAAGTTATTTTGCCCCAAAGAAAACACTTTTTTCAGAACAGATGAAAATGCTTCAACATTTTTTCCTAAAAACAAATTTCGGTGTTTGATTGGTCAATGAAAAATATTTTCTGTAAATAATAATAAAATTAACAAATTCGGAAGTATTTTGATGAAATTTTTTAAGAACTAAGATTCAATAGTAATGTCTAAATGTTAGTTGGAGAAGATGAATATGAAGTTGAAAGTTAAGGTAGTTATAAAGAAAATGACATCATTCTAGCTTTTTTAACACCAGAAAAGGATGAAAAATATTTTCCTAAAATATGACTTCCATCGTACCAAACACAGATGTATCATTATTTAGTAGTCTTATAATCAGAATAAACTATCTGCAGTACCTGGAAGTATTCAGGCATCCACAGTGGGAGTACCACTGCTTCCTGTAGAAGCCTCTTTGCTTCATTTAGTCCCGCAACATCATCCCATCTCACCCCTGGAGTAGTATCCAATATTTCTTTTTCAAGACTAGCAGCCAGTTGGGGATCAGGCCCGTTATACTCTCCTTTTGGCTTAACGCCAGCTACAGCATTCTGATAGTTGTAAAGAAGGACGCTGTGAATATTATAAAGAACTTAAAGTCTCAGCTTCGTACAAATAGAGTAAAGCAGTTTTTGCAGTGTCACTACACCAACTGCTCTAAAACATTATGTGTTAGTTTCACGCATGGTTACTGAATTTTATATAGCAGTAAAGTCTACCGCTTTTATATTAAATCTCATCTATAATCAATTTGGCCTTGCAGAGCGAAGATTAAACATTATTTAAGATTGGAGTTTAGTAAAATACTTTGTGATTTGAGCCTAGATGGTGCCCAAAAAGCAACATTATCAAAATGTTCTCGAATAGTATTAAAGGCAGATGAGGTATTTGTACCACTTGTTGCACTGTGTTTCTATAATTGTTCACCTGCCCAGGCAGCTGAGGTGTTTGTACCCCTTGTTGCACTGTGTTTCTGCAATTATTCAGTGTTGGTATCGCTTGTTGCAGTGTGTTTCTGTAATTATTCACCTGCCCAGCAAAACTGTAGCTTCCCCCCTATAAAAATTTCATTGGACAACAGAAACTTTGTAACCTAATAAAAGAAAGAAGTTGGAAAAAGGAAAAGAAAATAATATAACAATCCCAGCGACTACTTAAGATTGAAGTTTCATGAAATACTTGCCTGAACTTGGTTAGATAATTGTGTCATTAACCGACCTTGGGTAGCCTGAAGTTGAGATAATCGCGTTGCTGCCTGAACTTGGTTAGACATTTGTGTCATTGCCTGAACTTGGTTAGATATTTGTGCCGTTGCCTGAACTTGGTTGGATACTGGTGGCGTCGCCTGAACTTGGTTAGACACTTGTGCCGTTGCCTGAACTTGGTTGGGTACTGGTGGCGTCGCCTGAACTTGGTTAGACACTTGTGCCGTTGCCTGAACTTGATTAGACACTTGTGTCATTGCCTGAACTTGGTTCGATATTTGTGGCGTCGCCTGAACCTGGTTAGACATTTGTGGCGTTGCCTGAACTTGGTTAGATATTTGTGTCGTATTCTTCTTCTCTATTTGTTTTGTGGGTGATAGACTGACACTCCTTGAAAACTAACACACAAATTAAAGCAAACATTACAGTTTTAATTTGGGAATCCAAGTAGTAAAGCCTTTATTAAAACCCTAGTGGCAAAACGGATTGGAAAAAACAGTTATCCACCTATATTATCGACTAAAAAATGGGTTGGAAAATAAACTTTTTAAAAACGGGTCAAATATAGATAAGAACCGTATTATCCACTTAGATTAAAAAATGAATAACCAATGGATAACTAATGAGTAACTTTTACATTTGTAAAAGTTCAAATTGGGGTTCATCAAATTTGGGAGACAAGTAATTCTCCAAAAGTGATATATTCAAGAAGCATGTATATTATCCGCCGGTTAACCCATTTTCTATCCGTATTAAATATGGGTCGGGTCGGATAATTTATCCATTTTGCACGACACGTTTTCGACCCCGACCCGCCTGTTTGCCAGCCCTACCAGTGACATAAGGGTTGGGGAAACAAACAAAACAAAAGAATTATTACCTGCTGAATTGCAGAATTGGGTTGAAATTGGAGACCGAGGGAGTTGAAGTCATGATCAACGTTACGAAAACCTTGAGCATAAATGCGGGTGAAGCCAATATAGTTTAGGCTAACATTACCAGCTAGGACAGCGTAGTAATTGGGGGTGAGGAAGCTTGAAAGTTTGAACTGAATGCTCTGCACATTGTTATTCAATTCGGGTTCTAAAGCCTTGACCCATTCCACCAGCTCCGTCATGTCGAGATGGCCATCTTTGTTAACGTCGAACTTGTCGAAGATTTTCTTCATCTTCTCATCTCTGCTACAATTAGAATTAGGAGCCACCGCCACCATCTTCTTCTTCAATTAACAATACGACTTATATGCTTACTAGATGATCAAGAACAAGATTTGCAACTAAAGGAACGAGATACAGAGGCGGTTCAGAATTTGGAGATTTTGGGTTCTGGATTTTATAAAAGTTATTCAGTGAATTTCCTAATATATTCTACTAAATCCATAGCTAGAATTCTAACTCCACTTGATGACCGGTTTTCCCCTCAAAATATAGGTGTATTGGTTTTAGAAAGATTTTTGCTAAAGTCTTACCGAAATGGGCTTTCTAGTGTGGTTTTTTCTTTTTTCGGCTAATTTAAAATTATTAATAAAAGGAATGATGTTTGCTATTTTCTCGAGTCGAGAGAAAATTATTGTATGTAATGAAAAGGAAATAATGAAAACTAAATTATAAACCCTCGTAACATATTATTACATCAACTTTTTAATTTAATATTGGTGAATTTACATTGTTTAGCAAATTACGTAATTGGATTAGTTAATCACTTAGTAAAGTTGTCCACGCTTTTCGCGTTTGAGAAAAAGTAATTATATTAGATTTACAGGATAATATTTTTTTCTAATATCAACTATTGCACATTTTAATAAAGTCTTTTAGTCTTCAAATTCAAATGGAGTTATTTCAAGGTTTTATCTATTTTATTATTAATATCTAGTTTTATAATATTTTTCGAAATTCTTGTTAAGTAATTTTATTTAGTTTTCTAAAGATACTAATGGCTTCTTGATGGTACGTTTATTGATGTCATGATAATCAACAATGGTAACCTGTGTTATTCTATTCTTAATATTTCTCAATCTGGTGCCTCACAGCGAACTATACATATATCCCCACACATATTCATATAAAAAAAAATTAAGAGAAATGATATAACAAAACAAATCAAATATGATAATTTTAGAAAAATGTTAAGGTACATCAATATGAATAATATTGAAATAAAAAATGAAGAGCAACTAAAATATGACTTGTGTTATAAATTCGGCAAGTGGAATCATCCACTTGCAACGAACCTTCATAACAGGTTTTGAATTGATTTTGTATTCATAACAGGTTTAGGATTGATTTGTAACATTGAAATATTTCTATAAATAGGTTCATTAATAAACCTAATAAAGAAAGAAACATTCCTTTCTAATATTATCATTCTCTTCAATTATTAGTCTTAGTTAATTACATAATTCTTGCTATATTGCTTTTATTTTATAACACATTCATTATCTCTAAGGGTTTGTTTGGTATGAAGGAAAACATTTTTCAATTTTCTCATGTTTGATTGGTTTAAATATTTTGGAAAATATTTTCCTTATTAACTCATTTTTCTCCAATTGGAGAAAAATATTTTCCTTATCAAGAGAAGGAAAATATTTTTCAAAACTCCTTCTCAACCTTCCCCGTCCTATTCCCTACCCTCACCAACCCACCCACCTAACTCCACCCCATGCCTACCTACCCCACCCCCTCTCTCAGAAAAGCTTTTGTTTTTTCA